TTCATGTCTCTTTCACGACCCCCATGGATGCTACCTTTACTAGAAATAATACATTAGCAAGCAGTACACATCAGTAAGAGTCAATATGTAAAGCTAACGTGAGAATCTAACACCCCTACTACATACATTTCAGCATTTTGGTTTTTGTTCTTTTGTCAAGTTCTAGGATGGACACTCAGACCAAATGCCTATTCGTGGCTAGAGTCTGTCCTGGAATGTGTCTTCCAGTTCATTCAAGAAGAATACAATCCACACAGCCCAAGACCACTCCAAAAACGGAACCTAAAACACAGCCAAATTCACTTTGAAAGAACAGTTGCAATTCAAAGTAAGACACTGAAGTATACATACCTCTTGATTACTGTTTTTTAAATCCTCAAAAAATGGAATAAATAAATATGTGATCCCTAAGCTTTCTCTACCAGTAATTTTCCATGCCAAGCTCTTTTTCAGTGGATTAGTGCTTAATATCCATTTGTTGTCACTGGTTTGAAGCAATATAAGTTGTATTATCTGCAAGATGAGACATAAATTCCACCAGAGACCACTAAAATTTAGAGTAATAATCCAGCCTTCCTGAATTTCTAAGCCATACCTAGCTTCTCCAAAATTCCCCCTATTGTTTCCCAACACACTCCCTACTCCATCCCTACCTCTGAAAAACAGGAAGACCTTGCAGATACCTCAGGGAGTTTACAGAGACAACAACAGATGTTGCCTAGCTCTACCATTCAGTTAAGTGGACACAAACACAACAGCAATTCAATTTCAGACAATATATCAGCTTCTATGTACTTCAGGTAAATAATTTCCACCTTCTAACCATGAAGATTAAATAAAGGTGAACTCCTTGGATTGCGTACAGGTTTCTGTCATCTAACTACACTTGATTACTTGAAGAAATAGAACAGACTAAGACATCTTCCACTGGGTGTCTCAAATCCATCAGTAATGTAAAGTTGAAGGGCTATGTAGGATAACCCTGCTTTCCCATATCTATGTCCCTGTTTTCTTTAATATCTGAAATGAGGTTTGCTGTCTCCCTGCGATGCAGTTAACATATCTCACTTTGTAACTCGCCTTAGAAATTATAGGACAGACCAGCTGTACCAGAGAAGATTATCTAGCCACAGAAGTAACAGACTGCAACTTGAGCAGAAGGAATTGATGGCAGGGAGGCTGAAGTCTACCTTTTAGCAAGAAAATGGCACATACTTTTAAGAGCAAGAAGAGGGCAACTAATACCCAGTTCTCCCATTTCCTGAAGGTTCAGCAATCTCTTCACAGCCACAAATTAGGGAGAAGAAAGTTTTCCTTCAGTTATATTTTTCCCACATCGGATTCACCATTGTCTGACAAGTGTCTCAGTACTACTCTTCTCACCGTTTGAGCATCAATCTTTGGTTTTCAAGGTACTGCAGAACACACTCATCTTAAGAACAACTAAACTGGTTAGCAAGCTCATCTCATGGCCCCCCTTGCAACAATTCCATGGTTCTGCCCTCACTTGGAAGTCCTTACTTTCCTGAAACGTGTACTTCTGCAAGTCAGAATCCAAGTAAAGCAACAAAAGCTTTACACGGTTACTTTCATACAGGGGCCAGCAGTAATGCAATTAACTTAAGCAGTCATGCTTTAATTCACAAATGCCCATGTTGGTATAAAGCACACACATAGGAGAACAGAAATTGGAAAACTGAAAGTAGTACACACATCGCATGCCCTTTCCCACATTTGTGTGCCGATGATTAATCTCTATATTCTTAAGTGCCTTTCAGGAACTTGTTCTGATAGCAAGTTTCCCAGCCATAAATCTTTACTGTAGCCCCACCGTATCTGCTAGTAGTACCTCATTCTTGCAATATGCATTCAGCTGTCTGCTCAGGGAAGCTGTATCTCTGGGGGTTGAGTGGTTTTCTTCTTCACTTCTGTGCAGGACAACCAGGAGAACAGCTGTCATGGTACCACTACAGGACCATCTTTTTAATCCCAACTCAACTATAGACCAGCTGCCTTTAGAAGTGCTTCCTGATCTTCCAGTTGAAGTCATATCTTAGGGTAAAAATTCTGAAGGTTCAGAACCTTCAGAAGTACTTACAGAATACTTTCAGGTTGGACGAATTAAAATGCCTTTACCAAACTTAAAAGTTTTTATCTGAATAGAAATCACAACTCACAGCCTTTACCTTTCCACCTTCTACACTCCCACATTTCTTTCTCTAACACCTTTTGTGTTAAAATTATACTCTGGAGAAGTGGTGCACACAAATACTTTTTCTTAAGGTGTCTGCCTAAAGGTTTCCAAGTATCTTCCATCATAAAAACTGGCTAGCTGGGACTTCTCAACTTAAACAGAAAGAACAATTACTTTATATGTACACTGGCAGACACATCTGTAATCCAAACTTGAGGAAAATCCAGTGTCTTGGAGATTCTGTGACAGTGTTGCATGAACAACTGTATGCAGCAACACAGAGAAACTACTATTCACTAAGTACAAAGTCTGCCCAATAAAATCAGGAATCTAAAACATATACATACTGTATCACGCTGCCTGCATACCAAGATGAAATGCCTTGAGCACCCTACAAGGGCCTACAGAAACAGTTCAATATTTTCATTTGAAGTCCGTGATTCCATCAAAATCACAACATAGAAGTAAATTATCACTATGCTATAGAACTACCCCAGCTGCCATTAAGACTATTGCTTTACCCCTTCTCATCAGAAAGATGGGGCCTTATAAAGCAGCCACTGACAGATGGCTCCAACAGGAGCCCCACTCAGGAAGGAAATGGGAGACCTGGTCACCTGGGACATGGAGAAGGCTGAGATACTCACCAACTTTTTTGCCTCAGTCTTCACCAGGAAGGGCTCTAGCCACACCATCCAAGTTACAGAAAGCAAAGGCAGGTTCTGGGAGAATGAGGTACCACCCACTACAGTAGAAGATCAGGTTCAAAACCAGCTGAGGAACCTGGAGGTGCACAATTCCATGGGATGTGATGAGATTCATCCATAGATCCTGAGGGAACCGGTGGATAAAGTTGCCAAGCCACTATACATCATATTTGAGAAGTCAGCAGTCTGGTGAAGTTCCCACTGACTGGAAAAGGGAAAATATAACCCCCATTTTCAAAAGGGGTAAAGAAGACCCAGAGCATTACAGGCCGCTCTGTCTCACCTTTGTGCCCAGCAAGATCACAGAGCAGATCCTCCTGGAAACTCCGCTAAGGCACATGGAAAATGAGGTGGTTGTTGGCAGTAAACATGGCTTCACTAAGGGCAAATCATGCCTGGCACATTTGGTGGCATTATACAATGGCATTACAGTGTTGGTGGATAAGGGGAGATCAACAGATGTCGTCTACCTGGACTTGTGCAAAGCATTTGACACTGTTCTGCATGACATCCTGGTCTATGAATTGGAGAGACATGGATTTGACCTATGGACCACTTGGTAAGGATAAGGAACTGGCTGGACAGTCACACACAAAGTGTTGTGGTCAACGGCACCATGTCTAAGTGGTGAGCATTGACAAGTGGTGTTCCTCAGGGATTGGTACTGGGCCCGGTACTATTTAACATCTTTGTTGGCAAACATGGACAGTGGGATTGAGTGCACCCTCAGCAAGTTTGACACCACCACCAAGCTATGTGGAGTGGTTGACATGCTGGAGGGAAGGGATGCCATCCAGAGGGTCCTAGACAGGCGCAAGAGGTGAGCTCGTGCAAACATCACAAAGAGCAAGAAGGCCAAGTGCAAGATCCTGCACGTGGGTCATGGCAATCCCAAGGACAAATACAGGCTGGGCCTGTATGGATTGAGAGCAGCCCTGAGGAGAAAGACTTGGATATGTTGGTTGATGAGAAGCTCAACGTGAGCTGGCAATGTGTGCTTGCAGTCCAGGCGGCCAACCGTATCTTGGGCTGCTTCAAAAGCAGCGTGGCCAGCAGGCTGAGGGAAGCAATTCTTCCCCTCTACTCTGCTGTCATGAGACCCCACCTGGAATACTGCACCCAGCTCTGGGGCTGCCAACATAAGAAGGACACGGACCTGTTGGAACGGGTCCAGAGGAGGGCCACAAAGATGATTAGAGGGCTGCAGCACCTGTCCTATGAGGAAAGACTGAGAGAGTTGGAATTGTTTAGCCTGGAGAAAAGAAGACTCCAGGGGGACCTTATAGCAGCTTTCCAGTATCTGAATGGCACCTACAAGAAAGCTGGAGAGGGACTTTTTACAAGGTCATCTAGTGATAGGACAAGGGCAAATGGCTTCAAGAGGGTAGATTCAGAACAGGTATTATGAAGAAATTTTTCACTCTGAGGGTGGTGAGGCAGTACAACAGGTTGCCTGAAGCTGTGAATGCTCTAGCTCTGGAAGTATTCCAGGCCAGACTGGATGGGGCTTTGAGCAACCTGGTCCAGTGGATTGTGTCCCTGCCTATGGCAGGGGGTTTGGAACTAGATGATCTTTAGGGTCCCTTCCAACCTAAACACATTGCACTATACTGACACAGCCCTTGCACGGCATGCTTGGAATTTCACAAAGAACGCTTTTTTGAAAATGTTTAGCAGCAGCCTACACTGGCTTTATGAATATTTGCATACCACATTCAAAAAGGTTATAAGTTTTCTTCCCAAAAGACAGGAAAGTCTGCTAAACAGTTGCACCTCCAAGTTTCAAATGACTCAGTTAATCACCATCTACAGAAGGTTGTTAATGGCAGACTGAAACACACCACATATTTAAAACTCTAGAGAACACCATTTCAACTTGCAGATTTGTTTCCATCAGTCAGGCACACCAGACAGAGACGAGTCCCACATGCTAAATCTTTATTGTGCGAATGTTGTTCAGAGCATTTATTATCCTTTGTAGAAATACATTCAAAAAAAAAACCAACCCAGCATTAAAGTGGCTAGATTAATGGGGAACATAATAAATCTATTTGGTGGTAATTTGTATGCATGCAGTTAACTCTTGCGGTGGAAAAATCTTAGCCAGGAGGCCAGCCCAACTGACGACCACCAAGAACATGGAGATGTACGTGATAGACAGACTGCCCACCCTCAGGCCCTTCATTCACAACCATCCGGAATCCATTGGTCAGGCCCAGGTTAGCAGCACACTTCTTGCCAACAATCATTAAATGCCCAAGAAGCTGGAGGAGAAAAAAGAAAGAAAGAAAAAAACAAACAGCAAACACACCAAAAGGGGAAAGGGCAGGAAGGGAAGAATTGAGAACAGAGAACCACTCAGGTAAGCTAGTACGGTCTTTCTTATAAATTCAGCCACTGCTCTTCAAATTTTTGTCTGCCTGCAACTGATACTTTCCAAGAAAAGCTATAAAGACTGACTATGCATAATATGGGCAGGGGGAAGAGCTACAGACTTTTCTTCAAGCTAGACAGTAACAGACTACAAACGTGTCACAGACGCTAAAATTATCTCATGGTTAAAGACCCTGTTACTTCTTCAGGCAACATATATAATTCAGGTGAAAAAAGAAACTTTATCTTATCATGTAAAGTTTTACAAAATCTTTGAACTTGATCTTTACAGTTACAAATGAAATATTCAGCACCTCTCAGCTAACTTTGACCTGCCAAAAACCCCACGCCCATGTTAAAGAAGTAATACTGCCTGTAAACCATGAAAACAGATATCAAGATTGTGCTCCAAAACAATGCATTTTGCACTAGAAATACATTTTGCTTTATATCACTCCTTTTACTGGAGAACATTAACTCCATTCCCATTCTAAGCTAGAGGAAAAGGATTATAGTATCAGAAAACTACTTTGTCACTTTAAAATGTCAACAGGAAAAGGGGAGGACTCTAGTAGATTATGCATTAGAGGCACAGTTTGGTGTACAGAAAGCTTCTAGAGTACTTACAGATTCATCAGAATCTTCTGCTTCAGATAACCTGACAATTGGCTTCTTAGGAATCACTAGGAAATGTGTTGGAGCTTGCGGTGAAATATCGTGGAACGCAAGGCACTGAAGGAAGAGCAAAGAGTTAAAACATAATTTGCTTCCAAAAAAGGCAATGGTTTAAGTAAATCAATATGCCCCACTAAATACATACTTATTATCAGATATATATCAGATTACCAGATACTCCAAACACAAGCAGAGAAATTGATTTTTCTTAAGTGATACACTATTTAAAGTTATCTTAATTTCTAAACACACCTACTTACCAAGACGTGCTAGTATGAAAAAAATAATCAGTATTCTGTGTTAAGCATTATTTAAAAGCTACAGACTTCTCAGCAAGTTAATATGCAAATAGGTTCATGATTTAATATTCCTACATATGCGTAACAACTAATAGAGCTGATGGCATGCACGCCTATAAAAAGCACACTTATGCTTATTTTTTATTAAAACCCTGTTAAATAAAACAAATGGGAAATAGCTGCTAATCATCTTCCAGTTATGTCTGAATACTGCCTTTGTCAAAGATAGCAAAGTAATTACAAAGAACCTGAAATTATGTTATTGAGGCCATATTACATTTCTGTTCTCAACAGCACCAAGTATTTCAGAAAAATATTATTTTGAAATAATGTATTATGGCTGGCTCTCTTTCTGACATTCTCAAATTGAGGGAAAGGCATCACTTTTGAAATATGAACATCTGTAGTAAGCAGCTGATTCCCAAGTAATTTTATGGAAGTATCAAAATTACTATCCATCAGAAACTGCATGCAGCACCTATCTACATCAAATAAATGGTAGGAACTTCCAATATGTAAGAGAAATAGAAGAGAAAGCAAAGAAAGAGACAAGAAGCGATGACTCTTTGTGCAAATGGCCAGAACCAGGACTTGCTACTTCAGCCACCACAATCTGCAGGTGCCCACACTGAGCATGCATTCTGCCATTGCTAACCAAAGGGCATCTTTGGCTTACCCATCACATTTAATGCCAAAACATCTTGTAGTGACGGACTGAGTTAAGTCAGAGTGCATACTTATAAACACATACCTTACATTCTTCAAAATACGTATTTCCTAGATGCTTTCAGTTATTTGTGAATCAATGAAGTGAATTTTATATGTGACGATACTGCTTTTTAATTCTACTGAGAGGAACTGCGGCCTTTGCCAACAGTAAAGGTGGTGAAAAGCCCAAACTTTACTTACATTAGCAATGCCTTATCTTGTGTAACTCCCATCTGTCCTATTTTAAGCTATCTTTAAGAAGATAATACCCAGTTTTAAATCTCTGATGAACTGCTTGTTTCTCCCAAACAGAGAAGGCTGGTAAGCAAAGAATGGATGAATAAAAATAATTTGCACCTAATTCAATAAATCTTACTTTGAGTTGATCATTTTGTAAGCAGTTTTTCTAATCTGTGTGGTCCACATAGAGGCAGAATGCAAATGGCCAAACTGAGTGAAAGAATTTAACAAACAGAAGACTGGTAGCAAATAATTTTCTAAGGGACAGAGAGCAGAAACAGTATCAAACAAAACCACAACCTCAGAAAGTCCATGAGTGCATGGTAAACCAGCCTTCATTTCAGCAAGTTTAGATACAACCAAAACAACAGCGATAAGGCTTAATTCCACAGAGACTTTGTACTTTTTAATATCTCCTTTTCTCTGCATGTCAATTAATGATTAAAAGCCTTCCTTACATTTTTTCCCTTGTAATACTTCTAGGTGCCTCCAAAATGACCTTCATAGAGTCAACAAAATGAACTAAAGATCATCTACTGTAGGAAGCTAAAGTCTAAAAGCAGTTCTACATTTCTGCATAGTTTAAGGTAAAAATCAACAGAGCTACTACAGGTGATTACTCTCCCAGAAAATATTCTCCACTAATGGTAGTCAGAGTAGTTTATATGCTCTCAAGTCCTCAAAGTCAATGGCCTAATCCTCAATCAGCCACAGGGCTCACGTTACACTGATGTGGCCAAAACAGCTGAGGAAAAACCTCACGCAGCTTTAACCCAGGGAAAGAAGGGAAGCACACCCTCACAAAAATACAGAGCAGTACCATAAGCATGATCTTGGAAAGCAGTGAAAAGAAAAGAAAGCTGTAATTCTCTGAAATTCCTTACTTTAATAATCCCTGTCAGAGGTTCATCAATAAAGCCTAGCAGGCACAGCTGTATAATCTCCTTAATGTTATTGAAAGGCACATCAAGACCTGCATTTCTGACGTGCAAAAGCAGCTACTGACGGTGCACTGTTTAGATACACACGCCCGGAATTCACAAGCAGACTTCCTGCCGCTGGCTAATCTAAGGTTTCACGACTACCCTCCTACACCAGGTGTGAGAAGTCCCGTCCCTTGGCAGTAAAGCGTGCACAGCCCGCAATGCCGTAAGGCTGCGACACTCAGCGGCCGCCGCCCGGTGGGTTAGGGTCCGAGGCCCTCCTCCACACACAAGCCGGTGACACAGCGGGGCTGAGGCTGAGCAGCACTTGCAGCCCTGCACCCTCCCAAGCACCCTACAGGCCGAGCCGGGCCGCGCACCGAAGGAGCCCGATGCTTTAGGGACGTTGCAGGAGGGCGCGGAGAGGCCCCATCCCTGCCGCCCGTCGCGCTCCCCAGCACCTCAACAGCACCCCCCGATCCAACCAGCTGCGAGAGGCGGGGGGGGCGGCGCGGCCCCCCCCCCCCC